TCAGACAAATTCAGGGATGATTGGTCTGTCAGTATTTCAGCAATTATGAGCCACGATGCTAGCCCAGGCTGCTCCAAGCTGGTGCCCACCAAAGGCTTTGGACTACAACTCCCATCAATGCCCTGCCAACACAGCCATGATAGGAGTTGTAGTCCAATATGGCTGTGCTGCCCAGAGCTGATGAACGTTGTGGTCCAACAGATTTGGACAGAGGTGCCACCTTGGACCAAAGAAACATCACTGGAAGTGCATTGTTGGGAGGTGGCCTTGCCCAGTGCAGCTCAGCTTCAATGGTCATGGCTCCTCCTCTCACACACACAAGAGGAGCCTGCCTTTGATGCTGTGTCGCACTTGGCTTGGTGGTTTGGCCTCCTCTGCCCCCTCAACTGTAGGGGGAGGTGAGCCCTATGCTAAGGAATATTGAAAGGGCTGATGACACCTCCCCTACCCTCTAGAGCTGGCACGCCTGGATCTGGATTGCAACGGGATTCAGGAAGGCTGCGCTCGCCAAGTGCATCCTCCAAATTGGTACCCAACTGCCAGGTGCAAGGGGCAAGCAACAGGAGTTGGCCAGCTCCATCTTGCTCTTCCCATGAGCTTCTCATAGGAGTTCCCATGTCAGGCTATTCTTTTGGAAAGGAATGTGAGACAAGAGGGACCCTTGGCTGCAGCCACCACAGACTGGACTGCATCACAGCTCCTCATTCCATGCCAGTGTGGAAAAGCATAAAGCAGGAAGACCGGATGTGTAATATACCCAAAGGTCTCAGCTGTCCTTGATTTCAGAAGCCAGGTGAACCAGCTGCCTTCTACTGAATCAGACAAATTCATCCATCTTGCTCAGTATTGTCTACACTGACTGGCAGTGACCCTTCAGGGTTTAGGCAGGGTGTCTTTTACAGCCCTTCCTGGAGTTGCAGGGGATCAAAGAGAGGGCCTTCGGCATGCAAGGGAGATGTTCTGCCCCCAAGACACGGACCCCTGCACAGCCCCTTCCGCATGACCAGCAAAACCCAGAACAATGCAAGGTCAGAGAAGTTGCAAACTACACAGAAAAGGCACGCTTTCTTGGAGTAGGATTTGGATGATGGGGTAACCACAGGGCATGTGCAATTGTGGTGACAGGCCACACTTTGGCTCCAACACTTCGGCCAAGTGAGCATCTCAGTGGTTCCAGGGTCATGCCCCTGGCTCCCTTTTGACAGTTTCCACGCTGCCTCCTCTGCCTGCCCGCCCTCCCTCCCTCCCAATCCTGTTGGCGCAGCTGCAATGAACCAGCTAAAGCTTTTAGCAGCCAGCCAAAAGGGGAGCCCTCCAGAACTGCATTTGGTGGTAAATACCTTTTTTTCTTTCTAATTGCCGGGGGCAGCTTTTAAGGAGATTGTGTTATTGCATATTACTCTGCAGAGGGAACATCGTAATCGCTGCCACTGATTTACGATCGCTTTCTGTTTGGCAAGCAAATCTGTTTTGATTGGTGCACAGCTGATGCGCTGATGGAGGCTAATGTGGAAAAACATTCCCGGAGAGAGGAGGACCTTTCATCCCCTTCGCAAGCACCTGGAGAGGCCTCCCTCCCCATTGCTCGCAATAGCCTGCAGGGCTTCTATTAGCATACATGGGGATTTATGGAACAAGGAAGCCTTTCCCCAACCTGGCATCCTCCAGACACACTGGACTACAGCTCCCACCAGCCCCAAGTTGGGGTAGACTGGAATCATGTGAACAAAAAGAAAACTTAGACTGTTCCTGCTTGGCTTGGAAGATCCATGAAGCTCTTGAAGGGAAGGGAAGGGGGCAGAGGGAGAGAAATAGGTGAAGTGTTGTTAGTTTCAGGAGGGAATGAGAACCTAAGGATCGACTTTGTTACTATACTATACTATACTATACTATACTATACTATACTATACTACTACTATACAAAGAGGGGGGAAACCCCCAGTTAAATTATTGTTAAAAACTTTTAAAACACTCATTTAAAACATTCAAGGAAATTAAAATAAAAAATCAGCTACAAACCAGATCAAAACACACGTTGGCATTCTATGTTTCTGGATAGGTTTGGCTAGACAAAAATGTTTCTAGCAGCTGCCAAAAAGAGTACAGTGAAGGCACCATGTCCATAAGCAGGGAGTTCCAAAGTGCCACGCTAAAATATCCATTTCTTACAAATGTGGAATGGGGATTATTTGGCACCTGTAACGGTGCCTGTTCTGTCAATCAAAGCAGTCAAGTGTTTGCATATAGGGTAAGGCAATCTTACAGGTAAACTGGTCCCATCTACTACATGGATGCAATTAACAGGCATCTTTTTAGGTCACATCAAACTTTAATTGCTTTATTGCTTATGGCCAAAGATATTTTCTTTTAAAAAATAAATAAATAAATCAAGCAGGTTGAACAATATACAACAAGCCACATCTGCAAATACTGAAAATAATCTTTGCATGTAGTTAAACTATGGAACTTGCTCCCATAGAAGGCAATGATGGCCACCAATCTGGATGGCTTTCAAAGTGGATTGGGCAAATTCAGTGAGGAGAAGGCTATCAACAGCTCCTAGTCACATTGGCCATGCCTGGTCTTCACAGTTAAAGCCAGTACTGTTTCTGGATACCAGTTGCTGGAAGCCACAGGAGGGCTCTTGTGCTCAGATCCTGGCTTGCAGGTTTTCCTTTTGGGCATCTGTTTGGCCAATGTGAGAACAGGATCATGGAATCCTGGAAGGGACCCTGAATGTCATCTAGCTCAACCCTCTGCAATGCAGGAATCTCAACAAAAATGCTGAACAAGATGAGCCACTCGCCTGATCCAGCAGCCAAGCTCTTACGTCAATGATAGATATATAAAAATACAGTAAAAAAAGGAGGGGGAAAAGCAAGGATTAAAAAAAGGGGGGAGCAATAAAAATATATTTAAAGCAAGGCACCACCATGCTAATGTATAGTTGTCTCTGAGAGCATTTTGGTGTGAATCCTAGAGGCAGCAAGTACGAAAAGAATCACCCCATAAAAGTCACAATAAAGTTCAGATCCGATGGTAGATATACTCTCTTTTCTGAAATGGTTTCTGAACTGCCTTTTAAAAAGGTAAAGAGAGTTATCGTCTATCACTCTGCTTGCTTTTGCCTTCCAGCATGCTCCCAAGCGTTCCTCTGCAACTGTGCTTTCACTTGTTCAGTGCCAGATATTACATCTCAACAGGGGATAGAAAGGTGGGTAAGGCTTGCCCAAAGAGCTTGGCAGACCAAACTCAGAGGGCCCACCCCTGACCTAGTGGGTTATTGGGGGTCACTAATGGTTGAGAGTGAAAGGAACTGAGGCTGAATGTGTGCAGAGGTACAGGTGTGTTTAGCATATGTGGAATTTATGTGGGTACCGAGTGAGTCAGATCCTCTCTTATAAATTTTGATGCTTCATACTGTATTTAAGAACGTAAGACGAGCCTGCAGGATCTGGCCCAATGACCCATCTAGTCCAGCAACCTGTTCTCACAGTGGCCAACTAGATGCAAGCAGGATTCAAGCACAAAGAACCCTCTCCCATTCCTGAGGTTTCCAGCAACTGGCATTCAGAATTAACATATTTGCTTTCTCCAACCATGTAGGCAGAGCACATCCATCATAACAAGTAGCCACTGATAGCTGTTTCCGCCATGAATATGTCCAGTCCTCTTTTAGAGCCATCCAAGCTGATGGCCATCACTGCCTCCAGTGGAAAGGAGTTCCATAGTTTAACTAACTAATTTACTTTTTATTGTTTCATATATTGTATTTTGGGACGCGGGTGGCGCTGTGGGTAAAACCTCAGTGCCTAGGACTTGCCGATCGTATGGTCGGCGGTTCGAATCCCCGCGGCGGGGTGAGCTCCCGTCGTTCGGTCCCAGCTCCTGCCCACCTAGCAGTTCGAAAGCACCCCTAAGTGCAATTAGATAAATAGGGACCGCTTTATCGCGGGAAGGTAAATGGCGTTTCCGTGTGCTGCGCTGGTGCTGGCTCACCAGCTGCAGCTTCGTCACGCTGGCCACGTGACCCGGAAGTGTCTCCGGACGGCGCCAGCTCACGGCCTCTAGAACGAGATGAGCACGCAACCCTAGAGTCGGACACGACTGGCCCGTACGGGCAGGGGTACCTTTACCTTTATATTGTATTTTGTGGAGGTTGTAAACTACCTTGCCATGTCTTCTGATGAAAAACGGTCAGTGGGGTAGGGTGTTCATGAAAACTCACTATTAGCTGTTTGTGGATATCCTCTCTCTGCTGATCTCGACAAGAAACGAGATAGGCAGAAAATGGATATCCACAAACAGTTAACAATGAGTTCCTGTGAATACACTACACTGCTGGGTTGTTGTGAGGAGAGGCAAAGCAGAACCCTTTTTTTGCCACACTGAGCTCCTTGGAAGGAAAGGTGAGGTATAAATATAAAAATAAAAAAGAGAAAAATAAATAAAACTTGGCGGCATGAAGCGTTTGGTTCTGTGTTACACAATTCGGAGCTTCCATCTGAGAATGCACACAATTCTTCCAGGCTCACAGACATTGACCAAGCATTGCTCAAAAGCAAAAAGGAAGTCCATTTATTGTGCTGAAACTCTGCCGGAGGGGAAATCTGAAAGGAAGGGGAAAGAGGCTAACACCCTCTGGCTGGCTCAAAATAAAGACAACCAAATCCAAGGCTGGTAGCGGGATTCAGGCACTTGGGAGTTGCCACCTCCACAGGGGCAATTGGGGGCTTTGTCCAAAGGGGGCCCTAATCTAGAAAGCAAAGCAAACAAGCAAAAATCCTTCAGAGCAGGCTCACAACATCCAGCCATTGTGCCGCCTTAAGGCCAGGGGCAGGGAACCCGTTGCCCCTGAGACGTCATGTCCTGGCCTTCATGGCGGGGTGAAGAACGTGAACTCTTAGCACCGTTTCTGCCATAAAGTGTTATAAGGCACCGGTCCAGGAGTTAGGTGGAGGTGCTCTGAATACAGGTTGTCACTCAGAAGGGTCCAGAAAGGCTGTGGCTCAGTAGCAGAGCACTTCCTTTGTCTGCAGAAGGTCCTAGGTTCAAGCCACAGCATCGCCAAGTAGGGCTGGGAATGTCCCTTGCCTGAAACTCTGGAGAGCCCCTGCCAGTCAGTGCAGACAATACTGAGTCAGATGGACCAGTTATCAAGCAGCTTCCTAGGCTCCACTGCTGATTGGAAGTCCTAAGTTTCACCCACGCCTCTTCCTTCCGATTTGGTGAGCAGTACTAGCCGCAGTGGCTACATACTGCCTCCGTTAGTAGAGGCAGCACGTCTCTGAATGTCACTTGCTGGGAATCTCAGGTCCTGCTTGTGGGGTTTTATTTTACAGTGGTAACTTGGATTAAGTACTTAATTCGTTCCAGAGGTCCATTCTTAACCTGAAACTGTTCTTAACCTGAAGCACCACTTTAGCTAATGGGGCCTCCTGCTGCCGCGCCGCTGCACAATTTCTGTTCTTATCCTGAAGCAAAGTTCTTAACACGAGGTACTATTTCTGGGTTAGCAGAGTCTGTAACCTGAAGTGTATGTAACCCAAGGTACCACTGTATTTATTTTAATTGTCAAGAGTGAATTTCTGTCAAATTATTATTTGCTGATGTTTTGAGAATTAATTTTATTGTGCACTATTATTTCCTAACAGATGACTGAATATTACTTTATTTGATATGTTGCCGTTTTATTTTCAAGTTATGTTTTCTTATGGCTTTTTGTATTAGATCAGATTACTATATGGCGTGTGTTCCCTGTTGTATATTTTGTTGCTGTAAACCCCCTTGAGTACAGTAATATAGAAAGGCGGAATACAAAATAAAAGTGAAATGAAATGAAGATGCTGGACTAGAGAAGCCTTTGGCCCGGACCAGCAGCAGGGCTCATATTTTGCTCAGATTTCTCCTGAAATGGGGGGGAACACTTTACAGCAAAGATGAAAAGGAACTCTCTGCACGCCGTGGGATTTGCTGCTCAGCAGAGCATCGCTTGCAAAGCTTCTGCAAAGCTGATGCTTAACAGTTGTCACCAAAAGCAAACTGGAAAGCGGATAAAGGGACATAGTACAGTGGATACAGGGATGCGGGTGGCGCTGCAGGTTAAACCACAGAGCCTAGGACTTTCCGATCAGATGGTTGGCGATTCGAATCCCCGCGATGGGGTGAGCTCCCGTTGCTCAGTCCCTGCTCCTGCCAACCTAGCAGTTCGAAAGCATGCCAGTGCAAGTAGATAAATAGGTACCGCTCCGGCGGGAAGGTAAACGGCATTTCCGTGCGCTGCTCTGGTTTGCCAGAAGCGGCTTAGTGATGTTGGCCACATGACCCGGAAGCTATACGCCGGCTCCCTTGGCCAATAAAGCGAGATGAGCACTGCAACCCCAGAGTTGTTCACGACTGGACCTAATGGTCAGGGATCCCTTTACCTTTATCTTTTACAGTGGATACAGCCCTGCTTTGCTTGCAGAAGCTCCCAAGGTTTGATCCCTGGCATCTCTGGGTTGGGTATTTAAAAACCTGGAGCACTGCTGCAAGTCAGTGTCAACAGCACTGAGGGGGATGATCAGTGTAAGTCAGCTTCCTATGTTATTTCCTTGCAACACCCATTTTTAACATGCACATTTCCTAGGGCAAGAAAGAGCTTTGCTAGGAAAACACTACCTTTAAACTCAACCAGGCAAATAGGGCCACAAACGTCATTATTAGCCCACATTTTTCATAGTTCACACACACCCTTGTTAACACATTGACAGCCTGGAAGGCAAATAAAAAAATACCCCCCCCCTTTCCTCCTGTTTACAAAGGTTTCACTGCTTGTTCGCCTACAGGCAATCCTTCCTCTCCATGGGTGACCAGGAAAGCAGCTGTTATAATAATATTAATTTTAACCAGGCTTGGAACCCAACAAAGATAATTTAAGTGGTTTTCCTGTTGCCAGTCAGAACCGACGCAGCCGGGATCTTATCATTCAATCCTATAAATAAGACACACTGTATGCTTTCACCTAAATCAAACCCTTTTGTTATAGTGTGTCCCTGGCTTCGGGGCTTTTGAAAAGAAACTAATTTGGCAGTGGGGTAAGAAATGTCCCCATAAGTTTTCAAAAGGGTGGCTGGTAAGAAGCAGGTACATTTTATCGGGACTGCAGTTATTAAAGAAAGCACCCGTTCCATCCATTCATTTTTTTAAAAAGCACCTTATACAAGCATTAGACTTCCAAATGAAGGTTCGTTTACCTCCAAGGCACGAATAAACTGACTTGAAGAAGTGCGTGTGTGTGTGTGTGTGTGCGCTGCATTTGACATTTCTGACTTAGCAGTGAGTCACCTCCCAAGCACAAATAGTTACAGCAAGGGAAAAGTGCTAAATTTCTCCTGAGAGGAAGAGCAGGAAGGTGGACAGATGCGTAGAGATAGGACCTGAGCTACTAGCCAGGGGTCTAGTATGCAGATTAGCATATTAGCAGATATATTTGTGCATGGGTTTCTACACCTGCCCCACACATGAAAGGAGCTTGCCTTCTTGCAGTTTGTCCCCATGCCCCCAACTGTCGTGCAAATTACCAGCTGATCAACAGAGACTGCATATGGGTTTCTGCTGCAAATCCAGGGGAATGCAGAGAATGGCATGGAGCACAGATTTCACCTTCCTGAGAAACTCTTGAGCTCGTGGTTGTGGCGGTTGCGTTTTAAGCAAAGAAACAGCAAGCTTTATTCCTTTCTGGCCCTGAAGGTATATGTGCTGAAATTTCAGAAAGGTGGGCAACTAAGATTCCTAGGAATCACCTCTGCTGCAACAATACTCACTTATGCAAAGCAAAGGGAATACAGTGGTACCTCGGGTTACATACGCTTCAGGTTACAGACTCCACTAACCCAGAAATAGTGCTTCAGGTTAAGAACTTTGCTTCAGGATGAGAACAGAAATCATGCACTGGCGGCGCAGCGGCAGCAGGAGGCCCCATTAACTAAAGTGGTGCTTCAGGTTAAGAACAGTTTCAGGTTAAGAACAGACCTCGGGAACAAATTAAGTACTTAACCAGAGGTACCACTGTAGTTCCATAATTTATACAAGTCACGGAATGCAGGATTCCATTTTCCTCTCCCCATCACAGAAAATAGCCATTCGTTTGCTGCGAACACCTGTGCACCAGCTCCAGGGGAGAATTTTGTCATCTGGAAAGGGCTGATCTCTCCCCAGGCATTTCAGAAAGGAAGGTTCTTGCGATAACCTGAAGGAGAGGAAGTCGCTGGCAGTAATTAAGATAGCTAATTAGTGTCGGAAGCTACAAATTAGACTTTTGTTATTCTTGGCGGATAAGGCTCCGCATTGTCGTTGTCCCCCCCCCACCCATTCCATTCTTGTTTTCAAACTCACAGGGGAAGAGTTTGTTTTTCCAATTCAGCTCCAGCGCTTATCAGGACTACTAAACAATCTTAATACCACTGTAATGAACACTCATGCAAGCAGTTCTAAGAAGGGCCACAGCTCAGTGGCAAAGCACCTGCTTGGCATGCAGAGCGTCACGGGCTCAATTCTCCAGCATCTCCAGGCAGGGCTGGGAATGACTCATCTGAAACCCTGGAAAGATGCTGCCAATCAGTGTCAACAATACTAAGCTAGGTGGGCCATGAGTCTTTTTTTATATATATAAGATATTTATTAAGGTTTTTTAAAGTATTACAATAGAAATGAAAAAGAAAAGAGAAAAATACAAAATAAAAACAGTTAAAAACACACATATTTTCAGTTACTTATTTTCCTTTAGCTTGTTTCCCGGACCTCCTCGTACCTCCCTTTTTTGTATTCCACTTCAGTTTATTGGTTCAGCAAATCCTTACCATTAGATTTTAACCCATTTATAACCCTTTTTTTCATATTCTCTTAAAGCATTACAGCTAGAAACCGCTTAATTGCTATCCAACATCATTCTATCGTTCATTAATTTTACAATATTTCTGTAAATAGTCTTTAAATTTCTTCCAATCTTCTTCCACCGACTCTTCCCCCTGGTCTCAGATTCTGCCAGTCATTTCTGCCAATTCCATATAGTCCATCACCTTCATCTGCCATTCTTCCAAAGTGGGTAGATCTTGTGTCTTCCAATACTTTGCAATAAGTATTCTTGCTGCTGTTGTAGCATACATAAAAAAAGTTCTGTCCTTCATTGGCACCAATTGGCCGACAATGCCCAGAAGAAAGGCCTCTGGTTTCTTCGGGAAGGTATATTTAAATACCTTTTTCAGTTCATTATATATCATTTCCCAGAAAGCCTTAATCCTTGGGCACGTCCACCAAAGGTGAAAGAATGTACCTTCAGTTTCTTTACATTTCCAGCATTTATTATCGGGCAAGTGATAGATTTTTGCAAGCTTGACTGGGGTCATGTACCACCTGTATATCATTTTCATAATATTCTCTCTTAGGGCATTACATGCCGTAAACTTCATACCTGTGGTCCATAACTGTTCCCAGTCAGCAAACATAATATTATGTCCTACGTCTTGTGCCCATTTAATCATAGCAGATTTCACCGTTTCATCCTGAGTATTCCATTTGAACAGCAAGTTATACATTCTTGACAAATTCTTAGTTTTGGGTTCTAACAGTTCTGTTTCTAGTTTTGATTTTTCCACCTGGAAGCCAATTTTCTTATCCAAATTATATGCCTCCATTATCTGATAATAATGAAGCCAATCTCTCACTTTGTTTTTTAGTTTCTCGAAACTCTGCAATTTCAATTTATCTCCTTCTTGTTCCAAAATTTCCCAATATTTCGGCCATGAGTCTTGAGTCAGTGTAAGGTGGCTTCTGTCCTGGGCCAGGAATTGGCTTTACCTGCTGAGCAGCAGCCTGAAGGAGCAGGAGGCACAGTGACTTCACCCACTGCTGATCAGCCTTCTTGCTCCTGATGTGAACCAGCTGGCTCCAGCTTTCTTAAGCAGGGTTTCCAGCCTCATTATGGCCAGGGCCTTTTCAGTACTCATCTAGGGCTAGGGCTTTTTCAGTACTGGCCCCGACTTGGTTGAACGCTCTGTCACAAGAGACTAGGGTCCTTGACATCTTTCCGC